AAGTCAAGAGAAGGTTTTATGACTTTTTTAGTATGAGAAAAATTACAGAACACATGTACTCTGCCAGGAATTATCAAGTAGAGAGAAGGAACTGATAATGAGAGGAAAAGATGGAAGAATTGCTGGGGCAATGTTCCTTAACAGATAAGAGGGGAAGAGAACTTAGAGGGGAACACAGCAGGTGATACACAGTAACAGGAGGAAAGGCAGAGAAAAGAGGAGCCTTTCTACATTTCTATACTTTCTGAGTTCTCTCCCACCATGGAAGAAAGTTATACTTGCTCTTAAACTGCAGGCTGCGAAAGACTGAAGTCTCAACACAAATGACCCAATCAGAGTCCTTTCTCCAAGAGCATCATTTGACATCTCTGGGCCTCAGCTTTGGCACCTGAAAAATGGAAGCCTTCTTTAAATTTGAAGTCAGGAATTCAGTTGAAGTTTGTTTGGCATCATGAAGAAAATGTTTTTGAATTTTATTTATTTTTGGCTGTGTTGGGTCTTCGTTTCTGTGCGAGGGCTTTCTCTAGTTGCGGCGAGCGGGGGCCACACTTCATTGCGGTGCGCGGGCCTCTCACTGTCGCGGCCTCTCTTGTTGCGGAGCACAGGATCCAGACGCTCAGGCTCTGTAGTTGTGGCTCACGGGCCTACTTGCTCCGCGGCATGTGGGATCTTCCCAGACCAGGGCTCGAACCCGTGTCCCCTGCATTGGCAGGCAGATTCTCAACCACTGCGCCACCAGGGAAGCCCGAGGAAAATGTTTTTATGCATTGACTGTATCACAGGTTGCCATGGTGTAGGGGAAAGACCTACATTCAGAAATGTGGGCTTGTGTTCTAGCTTTGTGACCTTGGACAAGGCATGGAATCCCTCGGAGGTTCTTTCTCCAAACTAAAGTGTTTGTAAAAGGATCACAGCAATTTCAGAGGGATATCTCCCACTATGGGAAATGCTTTGCAAACCCTACAGTTCCATGAAAAAGAATGTTTTATAATGATGCTCAGAATGGCGGCTTTAGCCCAGTTTGTTCCATCTTCACTCGTTATTGCTTTAAAAAACAACAGGAATTGCCCCCACAAACACTGGCTGTGTTCAACTAGGAGGCAGGCATGTTTTCTTTCATTTCTTTCTTCGGGACATTTTCCCATTCTCCCTTCCTGGAGGCCAGCCTTTCTCCTAATATAGGTCTGAGGCTCCCAGCCCCAGGCAGGCAGCCACACCCCATCTGTGCAGGTGGCACTCTCCCCCGGAAGCTGCATCAGCTGTCCTAGTTACTCCCTGTTGTCTCCACCACCCAAGCTGTGAACTCACAATTACATACTACCTTCTGGAGGCTGTACCCCAGCCCTGCCACAACAGATGCCGTTTGGGAAGAGTTGAAGCAACTGCTGTAAACACTGGGGGGGAACTCGACTAGCAGGGTTGGCGTAGCTCTGCAGACAGAGCTGCTCAGGGAGGATTCCTCTGGGTGTGGGAGGGACGACAGGAATAGGACTCCTCGAGCCATTCTTTTTTTTTTCTTGAAATGTTTTTACTTTTTATTTTTTATCTCTCTATATATATTTTTTAAAGTTTACCCATTTATTTATTTATTTTTATATTTATTTATTTATTTATTGGGTTGCACCAGATCTTAGTTGTAGCACGTGGGCTCCTTAGTTGTGGCATGCAAAGTCTTAGTTGCGGCATGCATGTGGGATCTAGTTCCCTGACCAGGGATCGAACCTGGGCCTCCTGCATTGGGTGTGTGGAGTCTTATCTGCTGAGCCACCAGGGAAGTCCCTCTCTCTATATTTTTTAATTGGAGTATAGTTGATTTACAGTGTGTTAATTTCTGCTGTACAGCAAAGTGATTCAGTTATACATATATATACATTCTTTTTTTAATATTCTTTTCCATTATGGTTTATCATAGGATATTGAACATAGTTCCCTGTGCTGTACAGTAGGACCTTGTTTATCCATTCTGTATATAAAATCTTAATCTGGGGCTTCCCTGGTGGCACAGTGATTGAGAGTCCACCTGCCGATGCAGGGGGGGACACGGGTTCGTGCCCTGGTCCGGGAGGATCCCACATGCCGCGGAGTGGCTGGGTCCATGAGCCATGGCCGCTGAGCCTGCGCGTCTGGAGCCTGTGCTCCGCAATGGGAGAGACCACAACAGTGAGAGGCCCCCATACCGCAAAAAAAAAAAAAAGAGTGTTCTTCCTATGTTTTCCTCTAAGAGTTTTATAGTGCCCAGTCTTACATTTATGTCTCTAATCCATTTTGACTTTATTTTGGTGTATGGTGTTAGGGAGTGTCCTAATTTCATTATTTTACATGTAGCTGTCCAGTTTTCCCAGCACCACTTATTGAAAAGACAAAGGATTAATCTCCAAAATACATAAACAGCTCATGTAGCTCAATAACAAAAAAACAAACAACCCAATCCAAAAATGGGCAGAAGCCCTAAATAGACATTTCTCCAAAGAAGATATACAGATGGCCAAGAAGCACATGAAAGGATGCTCAACATCACTAATTATTAGAGAAATGCAAATCAAAACTACAATGAGGTATCACCTCCCGCCAGCTAGAATGGGCATCATCAGAAAATCTACAAACAACAAATGCTGGAGAGGGTGTGGAGAAAAGGGAACCCTCCTGCACTGTTGGTGGGAATGTAAATTGATACAGTCACTATGGAGAACAGTATGGAGGTTCCTTAAAAAACTAAAAATAGAACTACCATATGACCCAGCAATCCCACTACTGGGCATATACCCAGAGAAAACCATAATTCAAAAAGACACATGCACTCCAATGTTCATTGCAGCACTATTTACAATAGTCAGGTCATGGAAGCAACCTAAATGCCCATTGACAGACGAATGGATAAAGAAGTTGTGGTACATATATACAATGGAATACTACTCAGCCATAAAAAGGAACGAAATTGGGTCATTTGTAGAGACATGGATGCATCTAGAGACTGTCATACAGAGTGAAGTAAGTCAGAAAGAGAAAAACAAATATCATATATTAAAGCATATATGTGGAACCTAGAAAATGGTACAGATGAACCGGTTTGCAGGGCAGAAATTGAGACACAGAAGTAGAGAAGAAACATATGGACACCAAGGGGGGAAAGCAGTTGGAGGGTGGGGGTTGTGGTGTGATGAATTGGGAGATTGGGACTGACATGTATACACTGATGTGTATAAAATGGATGACGAATAAGAAAATAAACATTAAAAAATAAGTAAATTAAAAAAAGAATTTAGCAGAGAGACGGAAGGTAGTGAAGTGGGTAAAGCTTTTATTAGAAGCAGAGTGCATGTGAAAAGGACACACGGGTGGGTTGAGAGAGAGAGTCACGCTTTGGGGGTGTCTTAAATTGCTTATATAGCGTCAGTTTTATGGGTCTTTGTTTTCCTCTGGCCAGTCATCTTGCTCCCTTCCCGTATCTGATCTGACTCAGGCGCTCCCCAATGTGTGCTCACATCTTTTAGCCAAGATGGATTCCAGTGTGAGGGTTTCTGGGAGGTTGGCAGGACATATTATGGGTTAGCATCCCTTCCCTTCCCTGACCCCTGAGCATCATTTCTGCTCATGGGAAGTTTAGGAGGTCTCCTTGACCTCAAGAATGAGAAGTATGTAACCTCCTTATCTTTTTACCCAAGCAGGGCTTAGCTCCTCTCTGCTCCTGCCATTGTGTTGATCTTGAAGTGTCTGTCCTCAGGAGACAAATTTCAGCTGCTCAGCCTGGGGCCCATCTATCCCCTGCCTCAGAACTAGGGGATACCTGCCCCCGCTTTCCTTAATGAGGGCTCGGAGGCAATGGGAGGTCTAGATCAGGGGTCCCCAACCCCCAGGCCATGGACCAGAATCAGGCCACACGGCAGGAGGTAAGCAACAGGTGCGCGAGCAAAGCTTCATCAGTATTTACAGCCGCTCCGCATCGCTCGCATTACTGCCTGAGTCCCGCCTCCTGTCAGATCAGTGACGGCATTAGATTCTCATAGGAGCGCAAACCCTACTGTGAACTGTGCGTGAGAGGGATCTGGGTTGCACGCTCCTTATGAGAATCTAATGCCTGATGATATGAGGTGGAGCTGAGGCGGTGATGCTAGCACTGAGGAGCGGCCGCAAATACAGATTATCATTAGCAGAGAGGTTTGACTGCACAGAGACCATAGTAAATTATTTGCTTGCAGACTCATATCAAAACCCTATCAGTGAGTGTCAAGTGACAGTTAAGCTGCATCTGGTGGGAGGCTTTAAGTCAGAATCCGACACTTAATTTAGTCTGCACGTGGCCTGCCCATTATTTTGTTTACCACTTCTGTCTGCTCCTCTTTCCCACACTGTGCACTTGTCTCAGTCACAGTTTTGGTAAGCCCACAAGCTAACAGTACCCAAAATGAGTAAAAAACAAATGTCACTGGAAAGCTTCTTTGAAAAAGGGGAAAGACCCAATAATGAGATAGCAGAAGACTCTAAGACTGCCAACAAAAAGACAGCTGCACTTAAAAGAAAATACCAAGAGTTCTACTTAAATTATGGGTTCATTGCAACAGGTGATTCACATTCTCCAAGACCGCTTTATATAATATGTGGTGACTGGCCATCCAACGAAGCCATGAAACCTCCAAAACTGCTTCACCACATGGAGACCAAGAACCCTGCATGAAAAGACAAGCCTTTGGAGTTTTTCAAAAGAAAAAAATGTGAACACAAAGAACAGAAGCAATTATTGAAGGCCAGCACTTCATCAAATGTGTCTGCACTGAGAGCATCGTTCTTAGTGGCCAACCACATTGATACACCTAAGAAGCCCTTTACTATTGGTGAAGAGTTGATCCTGCCTGCTGCTAAGGACATTCGTTGTGAACTTTCAGGAGAGGCTGCAGTTCAAATGGTGGCACGTGTTCCTCTTTCACTAGCACCATAACTAGATGAGTTGATGAAATAACAGAAGATATTGAGGCACAGTTTTTAGAGAGGATTAATGAGTCACCATGTACGTCATCCAGGTTGACGCATCTACCGACGTTGACAGCAAGGCAGCAATGCTTGTGTTTGTGCGATATATTTTTCAGGAGGATGTGCACGAGGATGTGTTGTGTGCACTTTTGTTGCCAACCAATACCACAGCTGCAGAACTATTCAAGTCTTTGATTACATATCAGGAAAACTGAATTGGTCATTTTGTGTCAGTATATGCACGGATGGAGCAGCTGCCATGACTGGACGGCTTGCTGGTTTCACTACTCGGGTCAAAGTAGTCACTTCTGAATGTAAGTCTACACACTGTGTCATCCATAGAGAAATGCTGACTAGCCGAAAAATGTCTCCTGAACTTAACAACGTTTTGCAGGATGTGATTAAAATTATCACCCACATTAAAGTACATGCCCTTAACTCACGTCTGATTGCACAGCTCTGTGAGGAGATGGAGGCAGAGCACAGACGTCTTCTCTTATACACAGGAGTGACATGGCTTTCTAAAGGCAGATCACTGGCCAGAGTTTTTGAGTTAAGAGAGCCACTCCAGAGATTTCTTTTAGAAAAACAGTCACCACTGGCAACACATTTCGGTGGCACAGAATGGGTTGCAAACTTGCTTACTTGTGTGACATATTCAACCTGCTCAGCAAACTCAATCTGTCACTTCAGGGGAGAAGGAAAACCGTGTTCAAGTCGGCAGATAAAGTGGCTGCATTCAAAGCCAAACTGGAATTATGGGAGTGACGAGTGAACATTGGGATTTTTGACATGTTTCAGACATTAACAGAGATTTTGAAAGAGACTAAGCCAGGGCCTTCTTTCTCCCAGCTGGTGCACGATCACCTACCTCAGCTTTCAAAAGAGTTTGAGCATTACTTCCTGGTCACAGAAGACCCCCGAACTGGGAAGGAATGGATCCATGACCCATTTGTGAATAAGCCAGGTGAATCGACTTGGTCCGTGCTAAAAGAGGATCAACTGCTTGAGATCGCAAATGAGGGTGGCCTTAGAAGTATGTGTGAGACAACTTCAGATCTCCATACATTCTGGATTTAAGTCAAGGCGGAATATTCTGAGGTTGCCACAAAGGCACTGAAAAGCCTGCTTGCATTTCCAACATCCTGTTTTTGTGAAGCAGGGTTTTCTGCAGTGACAGCAACCAAAACGAGATTACCAAGTAGATTGGACGCAAGCAACACGCTGCGATGGCACTGTCTCCCATCGCCCCAGATGGGACCATCTAGTTGCAGGGAAACAGGCTCAGGGCTCCCACTGATTCTGCGTTATGGTGAGTTGTATAATTATTTCATTATATATTACAATGTGAAAATAATAGAAATAAAGTGCACAATAAATATAATGCACTTGAATCATCCTGAAACCACCCCACCCCCACCCGCCGGACTGTGGAAAAACTGTCTTCCATGAAACCCATCCCTGGTGCCAAAAAGGTTGGGGACCGCTGGTCTAGATAGTCAGGGGCTGTCCAAAAGTTAAGTTGTTAGCTTCTTTGAGAAGCTGAGCAGTGGCAGCTACAGCCTGTAAGCATAGGTGCCATCCTTTAGGGGTTTGGTCCAATTGTTTAGAAAAATAGGTTACAACCTGAGTCAGAGGTCCCAGTTATTGTGTAAACACCCCCAGGGCAGTTTCTCCTCTCTCAGTATATATGGATGGAGGGGACAGCTCAGGTTGGGTAAGGCTAATGCGGGGGCTCTTATGAGGTGGTTTTTCAGTTCCGGGAATGCCCGGTCACAATTGGGGGTCCACTCAAAAGGGTCAGGGTCCTTCCCTTTAATTGTTCATACAAGGGCTTAGCACCTAAGCCAAAGTTGGCGATCCATATACAGCAGAACCCGGCCATCCCTAGGAACCCCCAGAGCTGTTTTCTCATACCAGAAGGTGCCGTCTGGCAAGCCAATTCCTTCTTCTCCTTAGATAGTGCCCTGTGTGTTGCCGAAATTTCAGCTTTCCTGTGCACTGATGCCAAACAGAAATACGGAGGCAGAGATTTTGGAGGAAGGGAGAGATGGCTTTATTTTTCTTGCCAGGAAGAAGGGAAGACACAGTAGGCTAACACCTCAAGAACTGTGCCCCCCTGTCTTGGGGAATTGCGGAGGGTCTTATAGGTGGAACTTGCAGTCCAGGATAAGTGATAAGGAACAAAGTGGTGAAGGTATTGCATTCTTCTTCTTCTTGCAATATTTTAAAACAGTCACTGCTGCTGTCAGGCAGCCTGGTAATTGGGTCCATTCATCTCTGGGTTATGGGCCGCGACCTTCTTTCTGAAATGTAAACAGCTACAAGGGGTAATTTGCTACAAGAGAATGCAGAGAGTAGATGCCAGGTGCAGGGTACAATTCATATGGAATCAGAGAGTAATTAGCTTTGTTTAGCTTTGTGAAGGACAAGTCTAGCTACAAGTGTGTGTTTGTAGTAACAGCTAAAGAATAACCAAGATTGCTTAACTCTTTCAGGCCTGTTTATGCTGTTTCCCCAGCCTGTTCACTGTTGCTTATTTTCCTCGTTTATCAGAAAAATCTCATTTCTATTTTTGCTGCAACACGTGCCCCTTTTCTATTATAAATCCTAAGTATTCTGCCCTCTGGAGGGAGATCCGGGCTTTTTGCTTTGAAACTTTATATCCTCTCTCAGCCAGATGATATAAAGTGCTAACTGTATTATGGTCAGAAAGCTCTTTGGTGGGGCTGGCGATTAGAATGTCATCCACATATTGAAGTATAGTTCGCTCTTCTAACTCAAGATCACTAAGATCTTTAGCTAAAACCTTAACGAAAAGGGTGGGGCAGTTTCTAAGTCCCTGGGGCAGAACCTTCCAGCACAATGATTGTTTTCTAGAGCTGTAGGGATCCTGCCATTCAAATACAAAAATCTATTGAGATACTGGGGCTAAGGACACACAAAAGAAGGCATCTTTTAAGTCTAACACTGAACACCAGATCCTCTCAGGGTTTGGGGTAGAGAGTAACGTGTACAGGTTGGGCACCAGGAGTGAATTTCCTCCGTAGCTTCATTTACTGCTTGGAGGTCCTGAACCAGCCGGTATTTCCCATTTTTTGGATTTTTTTTACCGGAAGAATAGGAGTGTTGCAAGGGGACTGACAGGATCTAAGAAGCCCTTTTGAGTAGCTTTCTATTATAAGCTTAATGCCCACTAGGGCTTCTTTGGTTTAAGGGGTATTGCTTTTTACTTGGGTGACTGTAGTTGGGTCACAGCTTGACTATGACTGGTGGTGCCCTCCTGGCTCTGCCAACAGTATGGGCTCTGTCATGGGCCCATACTGAGGGGTTAATCCCCTCAATGTTAATTGGGCCATTATTATTGTCAGAGGGCGGTAGCGCTAGGGCTACGGAATAGAAGGTGGTCTTGGGTATTTCAATGATAAGGTTTTTGTCTCTGAGGTAAATTGTAGCTCCCAATTTATATAGTAAGTTTCTTTCTATTAGAGGAATTGGGCATTCTGGGATATATAAGAAAGAGTGAGATAACATTTTTCCTTCCAAAGCGCACTAAAAGGGCTCTATAAAATTGCACTCCTGTGGCTTCCCTTCCACTCCCATGATCTTACATTTATCTTTGGTCATTCTGCCTTGTCGAGTGTTCAAGACCAAGAAGGTGGCCCCTGTGTCAACTAAAAAGTCAACCTTTTTACCCCCTATGGTCAGGGTCAGCTGAGGCTCCTCAGGGGTAATTTCCAGGGTGTTCTGAGGAGCACCTAGGCCCCTTCAGTTCTCTTCTTCTTTTATGTGCGCAACCAGTGAGGTTGGGCCAGGACACAATGGGCCACCTAGTTTCCTTCCAAGACATTGGGGCATTCTCCCTTCCAATGACCCTCCTCCATGCAGTTTGCACTCTGATTGGTTTTAAGCCCTTCTCTCCACTGTGGGCGTGGTCTTCGAAATGCAGGGCGACTCATCGATGTCACAGGGTCCCGTGGGGGGCCGTCATTCCTGGGAGGTCGATTGACCCTGAATCGCTAAAGCCAGAATACCGGCAGTTCATTCTGCTTGTTTATCTTCCTTTGCATTCGCCTCCAGATCCCGGTTGTTGAACACCCGAAGTGCTGATTCCACCAGCCGGGAAGTGGGCATGGTGGGCCCTCTCCCCAACTTTTGTAATTTTCTCACAACGTCTGGGGCCCTCTGGGACTTAAGAGTGGCCTGCCCTTCCAACGGCTTCAGATTATATTTGCGTACACTTGGAGACACTCCCTTAGGCACTCAAGGAAGGCTGAGTGATTTTCCTCCGGTCCCTGGATGACTCCCTGTACCCTACTTCAACTTATGGGTTTCTTCCCCGCTGACTAAGCCCTTAAGAATCAAATCCCTGAAATGTGTGAGGTTCTGCCAACTGTTTTCCTCCTGATGATCCCACCCAGGGTCCGTGTCAGGGATGGCTGGGGCTCCAAGCTATTATACGGTGTGCCCTGCATAATTTTGATTGGTCTTATCCACTTTCTCCCTTGCATTAGTTATAATCAGTGCCTGTTCTTCCCCAGAGAATAAGATATTTTAGGAGGGTTTGGACATCCACCCAAGTGGGGAAATGAGAGTGGAATATTCCCCAGACGAAATTAAGGATTCCCTCGGGGGTCTTCCCATAAACCCTGGGATTGATCCTTCTAGTTGTATAGATCTGAGAAAGAGAGGGGTACATACATGGTGGTCAGCCCCCCCCCTCCATTGGGGACCTCCCAAAGGGGGAATAGCTTACTGATTCAGAGTTCTGGTACTGAACTCTGTGGGCGTGCATTGGACTAGTTCCCGGGGGAGGAAAACCGAGAGAGAATGAGATTTGAACTAGCCTTGCATTTTTTGTGGAGGCCCTTGTTTTGGCTAAGTGCCATGAAACATGGTACCTGGGGATCTCATCTCATTTTTTTAAATGCTGGCGATAGAGATGCAATTGAAAAATAGTATTATAATCTAGCGAGCCATTAGTTGGCCAACTTTCTGCATCTGCCAGTTTATATTGGGGCTACATGGTGTTGCAAAAGGAAATAAGCCGTCTCTTTGGTAGTGGGCAGTACTCGAAGAATTTCCCGTTATGGAGAATGCACCCTAGCAGCAATTTCGCCAGGACAGAGGCTTGGTTACCCATAGTGGGGAGTCCTTATTTCTGGTCTGTTTCCGGCTTCCCAGTGGCCTCTTCCTAGGGTTGGTAGCAACACAGATCCCACAGGATCAGGCCCACACCAAGTTGTCTAGGCACTCTAACTGAAATCTGAACCAATCTTCACAGGGGCTGGAAGGGGAGATGCTGTCTAAGAGGGCCCTCGTTATAAAGTCCCCTCTAAGTTAGCAAGTAGACGTTTCCAGGTCTACTGTGAGACTGTAGGAGATACCCAATGTAGGTGAGTGCTTTCAGCGAGCAGTCCTCGGAGATAGGGCAAAGGAGGAATGGGTTATAAATAAGCGTTCTCTAATCAGATAAATTGCTCGGAGAGCCTCTCTGGCAGTCAAGGAGGCTTGTTCAAAAAGGGCTTGACCCTGCTTGGTTACAGGCGATCGAGCAGGGAGGCCGAATGCCCACGTGGAATGTGTGCAGTTCTCTATACTCTCAGCTGCCAGGACCCAAGGACTTTGGATGATTTGGGTGTCCTCTTCTTCCTTCTCTGGCTAGACGGTGATTTTCTGGAAATCTGGCAAAAATAAGATTTTTAAAGGGTTTTTATCTCAGAGGAAGGATCCCTAGGGATCTGTGATAGAGGGTAATGGGGAGAGACCTACCCAACAGAGCCATATACCCTGCCCCAGGATGGCAAGTTAGGGCAAGACGAACCAATACAGAAGATGTGCTTTTGGATTTTTGACTATATCCTAGAGTCGGGAGTGCTGCAGGGGTCAGGGCTGGGAGTGCTTTGCAGTGTGCCAGCTTACATGGACATTTGCTTCCAGCTGGCAGGATACCTAGTGCTCATCTACCCTGGTCCGTCGCAGACTTATCCTTTCACAGGAGTCTTCCAGTGGAGAGCACCCTAGTGGCCTTTAAGTGCTCGATCCATGCCCACAGTTGTGGTATTTCCAAGAACATCAGGGCAAACAAGACCACATAGAACAGAGATTGAAGTTTCACCCTTATCAAGAAGAGACTAGGGCTTACGTTACACACACAAAACAAAGATGGTCTCACCATGTGGTGGCTTGGAGGGCTTCCCGTCCAGTCCATTCAGGCAACCAATTGTCCAATCTCGCCTCCCCCGTTATCAGAATATTGGCTCAATTTAGACAACCAACCGTCCAGTCCAGTCTTCTCGGCAGAGGTCTGGCTCCAACCATGTGGCCGGGATCCTTTCCCTTAATTAGCCAACCCCTACAACCGCCATTGGCCTTATCGACCGAAGTGGGGTCAGCGCCTCCTGTGTTGGGCATCGCCTGGACGCTACACCAATCTGTAGCAAGTGTCCTTGGAGATGTGCTGGGGTGGGGGTGGGGTCTTAACCTGGGGAGCGCCCCGCTTGATTCTTGGCTGCGTTTTGATCTCAGGCTTAATTTAGTAGCCTTCACTGGCTCAGGGATCCAGAATTGGAGCAAACTGGCCGGTTATTTAACTTGCCTTGTTGGCGAGTAAGCCCTGAGTTACCAGACGGAATGGGACCCCCATTGGACGCCAAAATTTGTTACCGAATTAAGTCGTATGGGCCCTGCTCCAGCCCTAGCCCAGTGGAGGCTCTGCCTTGGCGAGGGAGGGTTTTTTTTCTCTTTGGGTTCAAGTACGCGAATAACAAAACCCAAGCTGCGATTGACCCAGCACAGTCTTCATTCAGTGGCCAAAGAATGGAGAGGTGGGAGCTAAGTTCACAGATCACAGCTGGTGAGAGGGGTTTAAAGAGTAAAGACAACGGGAGGAGGAGTGAGGCGAGCTATGTGGAGGCATATGCAATAGTCTACAGGGGAAGGGGTGGGGATTTTTCTGAGGAAGTGGGGTGCCACCCCCTTTTTATCCTTTTTTGGTCCTTAATGTCAGGTCCTGGCCACCAATAGGTGCGTCATTTAATATGCTAATGTAGTAAGATGAGACTCAGGGTGTGTTGGAGTCAGATTCATTGCCCTGTTGGTCCCAGCTGGTTCCATCTTTTGTGTGTGTGTGTGTGTGTGTGTGTGTGTGTGTGTGTGTGTGTGTGTAGCTTCCTTTTCTTTTCTCTGAACCCTTCAAGTTAAAAATTTATGTTCACTCCTGCTAACAGTGGGCGTTGGTGGGTTTTGAGCAAAGACCTGGAGCAGCTCTGGCAACAGAGGTACTCACCGCACCCCTACCCCTGCCCTAGCCAGACCTGGAAGAGGGGAGTGGAGGAAGCAACAGCATCCCTCTTAGCTCAGCAGCCACTCCCCCCTCCCTAGCTCTGTCCCTGGGGGTTGGGGCCCTCATTCCAAATTGTGTACTGGAAGCAGCATCCTCACCCCTTCCACCTCAAGGAGGGGACTGCCAGGGCTTGCACCCTTGGCTGTAGCCAGGATGGAGGCAGATGGGCAGGAAAGGCCTGGTGACATTAGCACTCCTGAGCCATCGGACTGGGAGTTTAAAGCATCCCTCCTGTCTGATCTGTAGCTGGCCCCTCCCAGCCTCCATGTCCACCGTAGGCTGAGCCTGCCTTCTAGTTTAGTACCTTTACCTCTGCCTAGTTTCTTTTAGGCACAGTCCGGCTTCATACATGCCCCTGGTGTGGAGCGGGTGCCGCTGGGCCTGAGAGCTGTCCTGCCCGGGGCAGGCAGGACCTGAGGTGCCCTGCTCACATGTGTCTGGTAGGACACGTCCCTGCTCCTCGCCATCACTGTTATTGGGATCTGTGCTCCTGTTGGCCCTGAAGAACAAGAATGTAAAGAAGAGGCGTCCTATCACCTTACAGCACCCTGAAGCCAAGTTCCTGCTGCCCCTGACTGAGAAAGAGGTGATGGGTCAGCCCTCCCCCCCTCTGCTGTCAGGGGCAGGATGGGGGGGTGATGTGAGAGGAAGACAAAGCGGTGGGGAATGTGTTGGCTGGGGAGGCCAGGGCAGTGGGATGGGCATTCCATGGCCTCTAGTTTGCTCCCCACTGCACTGTCTGTGTTTGTGTGCTGGGAGCTCCTTTCCCAGGCATCTGAGCTGCCCAGCAAAGCTTCCAGAAAGCTGACAGAGCCTGCCTCTGTTTTCTGTTTTATTAGCAAATCAGCTACAACACTCGGAGGTTCCGCTTTGGACTGCCCTCGCCGGACCATGCCTTAGGGCTTCCTGTAGGTGAGTGGAGTTTGGTGTCATCACCAGGACCTGGGCCTTGTGGGCACTCTGCTCCTATCAGAAACTCAGCTGAGGTGTAGAGGTTGCCCTGCTACCTTTCCTGAGCCACATAAACTCAAAAAGAGGTAGGGAGGTAGGCTTAGGGACAGTCCATTCCCTTTCTCATTGTTCCATTGGGGCTGACACAAAAGCGATATCTTAATGAGCATTGAAAAGAACTGAGTCTAGAGTCAGAAGGTCTAAGATCCCATTGCCAGCTCCTTGCTGGGCAATCTTAAGCAAGTCCGTCAACCTCTCTGAGACTGTCTATGACATGGGGTTTCCCAGGCCTGTCTGCTACTTGCATTGTTGTGAGAATTAAGTGACTGATGGATGTGAAAATTCAGAAACTGTAAAGTACTGTGCACTTAGGAAGGATGGGAGGAATTGATGTGCCCCTACTGTCAAGAGAAAGGCCCAGAAGGTTTGGAGGGGCAGGAGGGGGTTGGTGCCCTTCCTCTCCAGTACGCGGATTCTCAGCAGGGGCCTCAGACTCATGCACGAAAGGAGGGACCCGTTGTGGATATGAGCCCTAGCAGTCCTAGAGTTCCGAGTTATCCCGTTTCTAACCTGTACCACCACCAGGTGGCCGAGTCGGTCTTAGCGCTCTGCTAGGCCCACAGCCTGAAACTTTGTGCTGCTTGCCTTCCTGGTGGAGTTCCTCATCCACAGCCTACTTGTCCAGGGTGCATGGGACAGAAGCTTGACGTCACCTCTTCAGGTGATGAAATTACCCACTAGGCAGCCAGCCTGGCCCCTGAGCCTTCTTGCTGCTTCCTCTGTCCCTCTTCATCCGTGGGAGCTGGGTGTCAGCCTGCCTTCCAGGCCTCTGCCTGGCTGGTGAGACCAGCCCTATTGGCAAGAAGGCTGAAGAATAAAACCTCTGAGAAACAGAATTTCTTAGAAACTGTCATGACCCACTCTCTCCTCAGCCCTGGTGTGGACAGAGCACAGTCAGTGCACAAGGTAATTTAGAGGCTTCTGGGAGAGTCTGCTGTGGAGGCTCGGAGATCGCTCATGCTTGCCAGCCCTGCTGAAATGACGCTGGTTAGAGATGCGGTCTGCGGGACCAGCCGGGCAGCCCCGTTTTCTCTGAGGTTGCTGCCAGGCCAGGCCCAGGTTGGCTGCATCTGAAAGAGGCTTTCTAAGGTTTCCAGTATCAGATGAGTTCTCGGCAGGAAGCTGCCACAGGTGTTTATTCCTGGGTATCCCTGGTTCCCAGCCAGGGCACAGCCAGAGCCATTGAGCCTGGCCTTTCTTTTTTTAAATTTTATGGAAGTACAGTTGATTTACAATGTTGTGTTAATTTATGCTGTACGGCAAAGTGACACAGTTATACATATATATATTCTTTTTCATATTCTTTCCCATTATGGTTTATCACAGGATATTCAATATAGTTCCCTGTGCTATACAGTAGGACCTTGTTTATCCATCCTAAGCCTGTCCTTTCTTAACCCAGAGCGTTTGCACCTCAGGCTTCGGGGCCCCTCAAAGACTGGGTTTTGCCCCTGCAGTGCCCCCTCCTCCTTTTCCTCCTTCCCTCCCTCCTGCCCTTCTCCTCCCCCTTCTCCCTGGGTCCCTGCTCTGTCTGCATATGCTCTCTCTCTGTCCTGTGCACACACAGCTTCTACCCCCTCAGATACTCTGGCTCAGAACTTCCTCTTGCCTTTGTCTCTTGGCATCCCTTTCATTTATTTATTTATTTATTTTGCATTACGCGGGCCTCTCACTGTTGTGGAGCACAGGCTCCGGACGCGCAGGCTCAGCGGCCATGGCTCACGGGCCCAGCCACCCGCGGCATGTGGGATCCTCCCGGACCGGGGCACGAACCCGTGTCCCCTGCATCGGCAGGCGGACTCTCAACCACTGCGCCACCAGGGAAGCCCCTTGGCATCTCTTGATCGCAGCTTCTGCCCTCACCACTAATTGCCTTAGTCACTGACGTCTCCCATGTTGGATGCAGCAGAAATCTGAGTGGCCTAGCCCATCATGTGACACTGGATCATGGAGTCATGATCCACAGGTCTCTGGCCACCCTGGTCTGTTCATGTCTACCCTGGGGGGACAGAATTACATGGTTCAAAGCTTCACTGCTGCCCTTCAGCAGAGCCATGGGCCAGGGAGACACAGCGCTGCTGCTGGAACTCATGGTCCATGGATGTCTAAATCCTGGAGCCCTGCATACCTGTGAGGCCAGGCCTGCTCCAGGCCAGGGGACAGGATACAGATGAGGGAGCTGTGATTCATTCATAGACCCCAGTGATACATACAGTTTAGGAAGAAATGACTTTACGAAGGCAACATATTTTGCTTTAAAAAGGAAACACTTTTCTATAATTTTTAATGCTCAGCCTCCACCCTTAATTAGCTCTTCCTGCCCCACAGAGCACTTTGACACGGTAAGCCTGCACCGACAGTAGGCTTCCTGTGTGTGAAGCTCACAGCTACGCTGTGATGGAGTCAGGGCAGGTATATGGGGTGAAGTGACTTGTCCAGGCTTGCACATGGAGTGAGAAGGGCAGGCCTAGGATCTAGGCATCCTGGACTTGGGCTCCTTCCCTGCTTGGCCCTCCTCCCATGCACCCTGTCGCGCTATGCACCCCCTCCGCCACCAAAGCTCAGTCCTTTAGAGAAATCCCTGGTCCTGTTTAGGCTTGGCCCTGCTCAGGCTTAACATTTGGTGCCTTTTCTGTAGGTAACTATGTTAATCTCTTGGCCAGAATTGATGGTGTGTTGGTGGTCAGGGCTTACACGCCTGTGTCCAGTGATGAGGATCTAGGCTTTGTGGACGTAATTATCAAGGTAAGTGATGCCCGCCGTGTCCAGCTGCCTCACCGTCACAAGCTTGTTCGGGGTGGTGGGTGGAGAAGGGGCACGTGCCCCGGACAGGGCTTCCCAGCGGTGTCATTTGACAGTGAAACTGTTGACCTAGTGAAGTCTTCAGGTGTTGCTTTACAGCAACCGTGAGCGCAGAGGATTTGCTCTTCCTGGTTTCTGGTAGCAAGTGTATTCTTGAGTTGTGTGTGGCTGTGGCCTCGGGGCTGAAGCTGTGAAAGCCATGCTGCCTTATTTTTCAGATCTACTTCAAAAATGTACACCCTAATCATCCAGAAGGGGGGAAGAGGACTCAGTACTTGGAGAACATGAAAACTGGGGACACCATCCTTTTTCAAGGGCCATCCGGGTGCCTGTTCTATCATGGGTCAGGTACTGGGGGGTTCACACTGGGCCTCCAGCTAGGAGGAAGAAGATGCCTATGGTTGTTCCATTGTTCTAGAAAGCTCCTCAGATTTGAGTCACATGGACTTGTCCTTGAAGTCTTCATACATTCATTCACACACCCACTTTATGAGATTATAAGCTTCATGAAGGTAAGGGAGTGATTTGGTGTTTCCTCATCACTGTGTCTCCAGCACGATGCCTGACGCACGAAAGGCACTTGCCGTTGCTGAAAAGTGGAGGATGGGTGGGTGGGTGGATGGAATGCACACTCATCCGTGTGCTCACACGCTCATCACTTACTCATTCGCTGCCGTGGGTGAGAGTGCTGTGTGACACTCCATGTTAACTTCAGCCTGCCTTCCTTCTTCCTCAGAAGAAAAGGTGCAGTTATTCCCCCAAGGATGCCCAGGCTCTACTCCCACTTTGGGCCCCGGTGGACCAGGGCTGGCTAAGGAGGCCACCCTGGCTTGCTCCTCTGGTTTAAAGTGGCATAGCCACTCCCTTAGGTGGACTTGCTTCCTGGGAGGCCCAAGGAACTCAGTGATGTTTTGCGGGCTCTCAGTCAAGAGCTGTAGACATCAGAAGTATCCTCTGTGTTTTCAGGGAAGTTTGCGTTCAAACCATACAAAACGAGTGAGCTTGAAAATAAACTGGTCCATCACCTGGGAATGATTGCTGGGGGCACAGGTAAGAGGCTACTGGGGGCTTCATCCACAGGGTGAGCCCTGAGACCTTTCTGACTTGGGAGTCATTTGGTCCTAGAAGGGGTGATGTGAGAGATTCCTTCCCTGGCTCTTTGAGATGGGGATGCAGGGTCAGTGACAGGTCTTGACACTGACCCTGGACGCCCTGCTCCCCTTAACCAACATGGTGGCTGCCCCACGAGCCCCTGGAGCCTCTAAGGTGAGGCTGGGGGCCAGGCTGGGCAGGGCCACACAGGCCCCCAGGGGCTCCTGGATCCTGTTCAAGCCTGATGCTCCCCATCCCTTGAAAATGAATGCCTGAAAGATGAGAACAAACGTGTAAGGAGAACTGCAATGTGCCAGGCACCGTAACGGGCATTTTTTAAAATATCACATTTACTTGTCATTATATCTGTTTTACAGATGACACTGAAGAGCTCAGACAGGTGCCTGACTCACCTTAGTCGGACAGTTAGGGAGCTAGACGTGAAATGCAGTCGTTTCAAAGCCAGTGCTGCCATGTGAAAATGATGGATTGTGGCATTAGAAGGGAAAACCAAAATGAAGGGTGGTTCTGCCCTTTGAGTTCTGGGGACAGAAGTGAGAGAAGTAATCGGGGCCAAGGAAACTTGTGAAGCTGCTGCAGACCAGGGATGGTGAGCACCAGAGGGGGAGGGAAACCCGGCCTTCCTGCTAGCTGTGTTCCAGGGGTTACGCCCATGCTGCAGCTCATCCGCTGCATCACCAAGAAGCCCAGTGACAAGACCAGGATGTCCCTCGTCTGTGCCAACCAGGTCAGTTCTGCTGAGTCAGCCTTGAGTGAGGAAGGAATGTTCCACTGTTTGCTGAGCTGGCCTCTGCATTCTTCTCCTCCCCACTCACCACAGTCCTGCTGCCCCGGCGCCTGCAGCTATGGGAGGGCTCACTGGGCTCAAGCAGGGCTGCTGGCAGCCATAGAAGCTGAGTCCAGGCCTGTTTTTCCGTTTGTTTTTGTTTTTTAACTCTGTCTCCCCAAACAGCCATAAGCACTAAGCTTTCCTTCTTTCTTTAATATATAATTCTATGCTTTTCCCAATGTAAAATCATAGATGCCTTGCCCTTAGTGGAAATTTCAGAAAATACGGAAGCATATAAATAATTTACTTCTTTTTATGTTTGCTCTATACATGCTATATATTCACAATTATATATATATTGTTTTTCATTTTTAGTTTTTTTACTCAACATTACCACACAGGCATTTTCTTCTCATTAAAACTCTTTATAAATATTTTCATCAGTCTATATCAAGTCTCACCATCATTACTAAATCTTCTCCTCCATTCAGGTTGTTTTCAGTTTTCAGTTATAAATGATACAGTGATGAATAATTGTGCCTAGGCTTAGATTATTTTGTTAAACAGAATCGCAGAAGTGGAATTGTGGGGACAAGGATCGTGACGAGTTTTGCGGTCCAGGTCTTGTGTGCAGCATCTCTGAGCCTGCAACAGATCTTTTGGCTTTGTGCACTTTCCCCAGCGGAGGCTACAGCCTCCGTCTTCCTCTGCTGTAGCTCTCCAGTGCCCTAGATTATATATATCGTGTCACATATCACTGCCTTAGCCGCTCGCATTCCCTGCAGGAGATCCTGGGCCAGTCAGGTTTGCCTTGCCTGGCGCTCAGAGTGGATGCAGGAGCTGGGCTGGGACCCCCAGTGTTCAGACACAGCCTTCCAGCTGGAGGGCAGTCACCCAACGCCTCCCTCCACAAGAGGGCGTTTGTTGTGTCGGAGCCTCAGCAGAACTCTTTGGCCCAGTCTGCAGGGAGCACTCCAGCTAGAGTCGGGTGGCCGGGGCGGGAATGTGCTGACCTGTGTGCTGAGTCTGGGGAGCAAGCAGGATGCCCTGGAGGGGTGAGGCTTGTGTTGCTTCTTTTCTAGACACAGGAGGAGATCTTGGTGAGAAAGGAGCTTGAAGAAGTTGATAGAACTCACCCAAAGCAGTTCAACCTGTGGTACACCCTGGACAGGCCTCCTGTTGGTAAGGTCCCCGTTGTCCCCACCGTGGGTTAGCTCCAACCCTTGACCCAGTCAGGGGCCAGTCCCTGGGTTGGTTGGTTCTGGGCTGGGTGGCTGAGGCCTTGGACTATGTCTCTACTTGGGAAATGCAGGAATTTGAGGGAGAGAGGATTTGGGATGACCTGCTTGTAAGGGCGGTAGAGGGTAGGTGTCCGATATCTCAGCGGCACTCCACGCACTACTCTGAACGTCAGGGGGGACCCTGAGGCCCCGGGCCACCCTGAACACCCACTCCACACGGCATCCCACAGAGCCATCACTCACACTGCCTCCTGTACGGCCACTGACCCTTTCACCCTGCACCCCGCACCTCACCTAGGACAGCAGTCCTCATAAGCTGAGCCCCGGCCGCCACCGCACACGCTGCACCCCGCAGAGCCCTCACGCTGACAGGCTGCCTCTCCCACTCAGCGCTGAGCTGTGCCTGCCTCGTTGTACAGCTCACTGCCCAGCAGAGGGCGCCACCCAAACGAGCCAGTCCTCTGCCCGGCACAGCTCCTGCTCACGGCCTCGATTCACGCCGCACCCCGGTGCATCTGTCTCACGGTGGCGTTCACCCGTGCCGGTGCTTACAGCAGGCAGACACCAGCCAGGGACTCAGAGCCCCAGCAGTGAGCCTGGGGTCTGGGGTAAATACTGAAAAGGGCTCTCTGGGCCCCCCCACGTCCTCTACTCCCAGCTTTCTGTGGAGAGCAGTAGTGCAGATGTCTAAGCCTTGGCGAATAGCCTTGTGTTCCTCTTCCCGGCTTGAGGGAGGGCGGGCAGGGGGCCTGGGGTCAGGGACGCAACCTGGCCCCCGCAACAGCTTTTTTCTGCTTAATCTCAGGCTGGAAGTACAGACAGGCTTCATTACTGAGGACACGATCAAGGAGCGTCTCCCTCCTCCTGGGAGGTTCTCGTTCCTCCTGGTGTGTGGCCCACCACCCCTGATCCAGAGCCGTGCACCCTAACTTGGAGAAACTGGGTTACACCAAGGACATGATTTTCACCTACTAATGCCTCCCTTGCTCTTGGCAAATTTGCCTGGTCCCGTTCATGAGCTCAGCTTCACCATGTTATACTGGGAAGTGTTCAAAAGTCCCTCGTAATGCGTCTTTGTGTACGCTGGCACTCCTTCCTCTCTAAAGTAGCTTCTGAGGCCTCCTTGCTTGAAGGAATTCCATTTCAGTATCTTTTTCCATAGTTTGGTGAAGTAAAATTCAGTGCAAAGCAGATAGCCATTGAGTGTGGCTCTGTGGGGGACCTGCTAGACAGGTAGAAGGCCTTGACCTGCCCCACATGTAAATTGGCATCTTGTGTCCTTGGGGGGGTCACAATGGTCAAAAATACTGGGGCAGAACTCCAGGAGAATCGTGTCAACTCCCAATTTCTCTTTAACCCCTCTTTCTAGAGTGTTGTTTTTAAGGTCACACCTATCAGAGGGCTCAGGCACCCTCCATGTGCACTCGTTCTTCTCTTGTAGGAGACCCTTGAAATGGAAATGGTGTTAAAAATACACATCAGGGCAATAGTCAACGTGGGCTCCAAGAATCCTGGACTCCCTGCACTGTACACCACAAATGGAGGTAAGGGGTGCTTCTTTGTTAAGGATCCTCTAAATGCCAGCCCAATTCTGGTGTGGTCAGGTAGGGGTGGTTAGTACAGAAGCTTCTGAACTTGCAAACAAAATTAGGTTCCTGAGGCTATTCCTTAAATCGTTCATATTTATTGCAAAGGGTATAAGTGTTCACTATCACCATCTGTTGTTTGTGGTCAGGATGACATGCTGTTGCTTTGTTACCTGTGCCTGGATAAAACCACTTATGCTCTTGATATTTTTTATTACTGCTGCTTTTGAAGTATAGTTGATTTATGTTTCAGGTGTACAGCAAAGTGATTCAGTTGTGTGTGTGTGTGTGTGTGTGTATATATATATATTCTTTGTCAGATTCTTTTCCATTATAGGTTTTTACAGGATATTGCATATAGCTCCCTATGCTATACAGTAGATCTTTGCTATTTTATATGTAGTGGTGTGTATCTGTTAATCCCAAATTTATCCCTTCCCTCCCTTTCCCCTTTGGTAACCATAAGTTTGCTTTCTATGTCTGTGAGTCTATTTCTGTTTTGTGAATAAGTTCATTTATACCATTTTTCTAGAACGCACATATAAGTGAGGTCATATGATATTTCTCTTTCTCTTACTTCATTTAGTATGTTGCTGGAAATGGCATTATTTCATCATTTTTTATGGCTGCGTAATATTCCATTCATCTGTTGATGGACATTTAGGTTGCTTCCATGTTTGCCTTGTGTAAATAGTGCTATGAACACTGGGGTGCATGTATCCTTTTGAATTAGAGTTTTCTCCAATATATGACCAGGAGTGGGATTGCGGGAACATATGGCAACCCTATCTTTAGTTTTTTGAGGAACCTCCATACACTTCTCCATAGTGGCTGCAGCAATTTACATTCCGAGCAACAGCGTAGAAGGGTTCCCTTTTCTCTACACCCTCTTCAGCATTTATTATTTGTAGATTTTTTGATGATGGCCATTCTGACCAGTGTGAGGTGGTACCTCATTGTAGTTTTGATTTGCATTTCTCTAATTATTAGTGATGTTGAGCATCTTTTCATGTGCCTCTTGGCCATCTGTATGTCTTCTTTGGAGAAATGTCTGTTTAGGGCTTCTGCCCATTTTTCTGATTTTTTTTTTTTTTGGATATTGAGCTGTATGAGCTACTTGTATATTTTGGAAATTAAGTCTTGTCAGTTGCACCATTTGCAAATATTTTCTCCCATTCTGTAGGTTGTCTTTTAATTTTGTTTATGGTTTCCTTTGCTGTGCAAAAGCTATCAGGTTTAATTAGATCCCATTTGTTTATTTTTGCTTTTGTTTCCATTACTCTAGGAGATGGATCCAAAAAAATATTGTTGTGATCTATGTTAAAGACTGTCCTGCCTATGTTTTCCTCTAGGAGTTTTATAGTATCTGGTCTTACATTTAGGTCTTTAATCCGTTTTGAGTTTACTTTTGTATATAGTGTTAGAGAATATTCTAATTTCATTCTTTTACATGTCAGTGTCCAGTTTTCCCAGCACCATTTATTGAAGAGACTGTCTTTTCTTCATTGTCTATTCTTGCCTCCTTTGTCGTAGATTAATTGACCATAAGCATGTGGGTTTATTTATGGGCTTTCTATCCTGTTCCATTGATCTATGTATCCTTTTTTTTTGCCAGTATCAAACTGTTTTGATTACTGTAGCTTTGTAGTATGGTCTGAAGTCAAGGAGCATGATTCCTCCAGCTGCACTCTTCTTTCTCAAGATTGTTTTGGCTATTCAGGTTCTTTTGTGTTTCTGGATGAATTAAAAAATTTTTGTTCCAGTTCTGTGAAAAATGCCATCAGTAATCTGATAGGGATTGTACTGAATCTGTAGATTGACTTAGGTAGTATGGTCATTTAAACAATACTGATTCTTCCAATCCAAAAACACGGTATGTCTTTCCATCTATGTCATCCTCAATTTCTCTCATCAGCCTCCTATCAGTTTTCACAGCACAGGTCGTTTGCTTCCTTAGCTGGGCTTACTCCTGGTTATTTTATTCATTTTGTTGCAATGGTGAATGGGATTATTTCCTTAATTTCTTTTTCTGATATTTCATTGTTAATGTATAGAAATGCAACAGATTTCTGTGTATTAATTTCATACCCTGCAACTTTACTGAATTCATTGATTACTTCTAGTAGTTTTCTAGTGACACCTTTAGTATTTTCTATGTATAGTATCATGTCATCTGCAGTGATGGTTTTTCTTCTTCCTTTCCAATTTGGATTCCTTTTATTTCCTTTTCTTCTCTGATTGCTGTGGCTGGGACTTCCAAAACTATGTTGAGTAAAAGAGGTGAGAGTGGACATCCCGGTCTTGTTCCTGACCTTAGAGGGAATGCTTTTAGCTTTTCACTGTTGAGTATGATGTTAGCTGTGAGTTTGTCATATATGGCCTTTATTATGTTGAGGCATGTACCCTCTATGCCCACTTTCTGGAGAATTTTTATCATAAATGGATGTTGAATTTTATCAAAAGCTTTTTCTACATCTGTTGAGATGATTGTATGGTTTTTATTCAATTTGTGAATGTGGTGTGTCACAATGATTGATTTGTGGATATTGAAAAATCCTTGCAGCCCTCAGATAAATCCCCTTGATTATGGTATACAGTCCTTTTACTGTATTGTTGGAGTAGGTTTGCTAGTATTTTGTTGAGGATTTTTGCATCTATGCTCATCAGCAATATTGGTTTATAATTTTTTTTTGTGATCTTTTTGTCTGGTTTTTGTATCAGGGTGATGGTGGCCTCATAGAATGAGTTCAGAAGTGTTCCTTTTTCTCCAGTTTCTTGGAGAATAGTTTCAGAAGGATAGGTGTTATCTCTTCTCTAAATGTTTGACAGAATTCACCTGTGAAGCCATCTGGTCCTGGACTTTTGTTTCTTGGGAGTTTTAAAATTACTGATTCTATTTCAGTACTGGTAATTGGCCTGTTCATATTTTCTATTTCTTCCTGGTTCAGTCTTGGGAGTTGTACCTTTCTAAGACTTTATTCTAGCTTGTCCATTTTATTGGCACATAATTGCTCAGAGTAATCTCTTATGATCCTTTGTATTTCTGTGATGTCAGTTGTAACTTCTTTTTAGCATATCTAATTTTATGGATTTGAGTCCTTTCCCTTTTTTTCTTCATGAGTCTGGCTAAAGGTTTATCAATTTTGTTTATCTTCTCAAAGAACAAGCTTTTAACTTCATTGATCTTTGCTGTTTTCTTTGTTTCTATTTCATTTATTTCTGCTCTGATCTTTATGATTTCTTTCCTTCTACTACCTTTGGATTTTGTTTCTTCTTCCCTGATTGCTTTAGGTGTAATGTTAGGTTGTTTATCTGAGATTTTTCTTGTTTCCTGAGGTAAGCTTGTATCACTATAAACTTCCCCCTTAGCACTGCTTTTGCTGCATCTCACAGGTTTTGGAATGTTGTGTTTTCATCTTCATTTGTCTCCAGGTATTCTGTGATTTCTTCATTGATCCATTGGTCGTTTAGTAACAACCTCCACGTGTTTTTTTTTCTTGTAGTTGATTTCTAGTCTCATAGCCTTGTGGTTGGAAAAGATGCTTGTTTTGTGGCCCAGCACGTGATCTATTCTGGAGAATGTTCCGTGTGCATTTGAAAAGAATGTGTATTCTGCTGCTTTCAGGTGGAATGCTCTATAAATATAAATTAAGTCCATTTGGTCTAATGTGTTAAGGCCTGTGTTTCCTTTTCTGTCTGATCTGTCCATTGACGTAAGTGGGGTGTTGAGGTCCACTATTATTATTGTTACTATCAATTTCTCCTTTTATGTTTGTTAGCATTTGCTTTATATATCGAGGTGCTCCTGTGTTGGGTGCATATATACTTACAGTTGTTATATCTGCTTCTTGGATTGATCTCTTGATCATTATGTGGTGTCCTTGTCTCTTTTAACAGTCTTTAAAGTCTATTTTGGCTGATCTAAATACTGCTACTCCAGCCTTCTTTTGATTTCCATTTGCATGGAATACCTTTTTCCCTCCACTCCCTTTCAGCCTGTATGTGTCTCTAGATCTGAAATGAGCCTCTTGTAGGCAGCAAATGTGTGGATCTTGTTTTTGTGTCCATTCAGTCACTCTGTGTCTTTTGGTTGGAGCATTTAATCTATTTACATTTAAGGTAATTATCGATATGAATGTTCTCATTGTCATTTTGTTAATTGTTTTGGACTTATTTTTGTAGGTCTTTTTTTTGCCTTCTTCTTTTGCTCTCTTGTGACTTGATGACTAGTGTTATGTTTGGATTCCTTTTTCTATTTTGTGTGTATTTCTATTATAGGTTTTTGGTTTGCAGTTACCTTGAGGTTTTTGTGTAGCAGTCTGTATGTATACATAATTGTTTTAAGTTGATCTCTTACTTTCAAATGCATTGTAAATACGCTGCAGTTGC